TGATCCTGGAAAGATATTAAGGTTACACACAGTGACTTCCAATTTCAAGTCAGATGGCATGAGAGTCGTGGCACTTCCTGCCTTCACTGATACTTTTCAAGGACTTGACGCTCCTCCTTGAGTTAAAGACCAAGGAAACATGGCCTTTCCCCTCTCTTCTGCACATCCTTTGCCCGAAATCATAGAAAGGGAAGTTCTAAGCCCTGGCCTGCAACAAGAGAGTTAGTGAGTCCTGAATCTGGCCTCAGAGAGGACAGGACGGTGCCTGGCAAGTAAGCAGCTTCCCTTTCCACTGGTGTCTTGGCTTCATGGAAGGATCCTCTCCAGAGCACTTGAGGCCTAGAGTCCTTTTTAATGGAAACAAGAGACTCGTAAATCCCAAAGCCAGACTCCCTTGGAAGCTCCTGGCTCAGCTCTTGCCTCCCGGGCTCACTGCCATGAGGAGCATCTCCCAGACTGCTCTCCCTCTCTTCTCCCAGCTGACTTCACACACTGACTGTTGGCTCTGGTTGGGGGCAGCCTGTGCCCTGCCTGGCCAGAAGCCTCCAGCCTGCTTGGGTTACCATGAATGAGCATGTTTGGGCTGAACGGTAACCCTCAAGTTTTTCTGAAATTTGAGGTCACTGGGTCCTGAGATGCTGACCTAACATTTTGGGGAAGGCTTGATAAACTGGGTTTTGAAGAGGTCCCCGACAGCCATCCATCCAACCAGTGGGGGTTACAAGAGGAGGAAATCCAGGAAAAGTCCAGTTGAAATCAATCTCGGTTACCTCCCTTCAGTGGAGGCCCCAACACCCAGGCCCATCCGTTCCCTCTGGGGCCCCATCCCAGGGTGTTGATCCCACGCCAGCTCCAGCCAGGTGCCCAGGAGTCTGTCTCCTGCCCTGATGGTGGCGCTCCCGCCCCTCCTCTCACCTCTTCCTTTTCCAGTCAACCTTGTCCTTCGTCTAGAGGTCGTGAGCAGAGACCTCCAGGTGCAGCCTGTGCTGGGCTAAGGGAGTTGACCCCACACTGTCAGGCAGATCTGTCAAGAGAGCTTTAGGGTTTTTAATTAGAAGGGCCAGCTGGGCTCCTTCTTTAGTCCCCAACTCCATCCCCCAGTCTGGCTTGTAACTTGACTTTTTTTTTTTTTTTTTTTTTTTTTTTTTTGAGACGGAGTCTCGCTCTGTCGCCCAGGCTGGAGTGCAGTGGCGATCTCGGCTCACTGCAAGCTCCGCCTCCCGGGCTTACGCCATTCTCCTGCCTCAGCCTCCCGAGTAGCTGGGACCACAGGCGCCCGCCACCTCGCCCGGCTAGTTTTTTGTATTTTTTAGTAGAGACGGGGTTTCACCGTGTTCGCCAGGGTGGTCTCGATCTCCTGACCTCGTGATCCGCCCGTCTCGGCCTCCCAAAGTGCTGGGATTACAGGCTTGAGCCACCGCGCCCGGCTGTAACTTGACTTCTTAAGATGGAACTAAGGGAAGGAGAGAAAGGAAGAGAAGGGAGCATGAATTACTAACCTCACCTCCTCCCTTTGTTTTAAAAATCACCTTGTATCCAGTCTCCTTAGTGTTTTTTTTTTTTTTTTTTCTGTAGGGTCGAAGAGGGGTAACAGGGTCTCATTCTGTCACCCAGGCTGGAGTGCAGTGGCATGGATCATAGCTCATTGCAGCCTCAAACTCCTGGGCTCAAGTGATCCTCCCAAGCAGCTGGGACTACAGGGCATACCTGGCTATTTTGTTTGTTTGTTTGTTTGTTTGTAGAGGCCAGGTCTTCCTGTGTTGCCTAGGCTGGTCTCAAACTCCTGGCTCCAAGTGATCCTCCCACCTTGGCCTCCCAAAGTGTTGGGATTACAGGTGTGAGCCACTGTGGCCGACCAGTTCTTAATTTATTGAATCCTGGTGTCTTAGGTGTTTAAGCATCCTCAGGGTTTGCAGCAGAAAGTTTCTGATTGAGGAAATGGATCCATGGAAGTTGTTGAGGATGGAGTTTCTTTCGTTTGTGTTATATAGCTGGCCAGTCATGGGGCTAGGGCTGGAACTCAGACATCCCTTCTCCAGCCCTGACTGACAGTAACCAGGTAAAAATAACCTATGGGGCACCAGAAGCCTTGGGGTCTGGTCATGCTCAGGCCCTACCTTGCAGGATGACCTTGGGCCAGATTTTCCTCCTCTCCAGGTCTCGGTTTTTTCACAGGAGTAGAAAAATTTTTCTGCTTTTGAGGCCATTCCATTTAAGCAACTGCAGGAAAAGGAGTGATTATACTAGTAGCAATTCAGATCAAAGGTGGAGGGGTCTAAAAAGGATTTGGTGGTGGGGCTGGACTATAGTGTTTTGATTTAAATGTGGCACATCCTAGGAGAGGCTGTTGGCCCTGGAAGGGCTCAGGGCTGATGGAACAAGAACTGCTGAGGAAGAAGACGGCTGTGACGGGGACAAGCACATCACTGCAGGCCCTTGGTCTATTTTATTAATTAATTACTTAATTTATTTATTTATTTTTGAGATGGAGTCTTGCTCTGTCACTCAGACTAGAGTTCAGTGGTGTGATCTTGGCTCACTGCAACCTCCGTCCCCTAGGATCAAGCGATTCTCCTGCCTCAGCCTCCTGAGTAGCCACACCAGGCTACTTTTTGAATTTTTTGTAGAGACGGAGTTTCGCCATGTTGCCCAGACTAGTCTCGAACTCCTGACCTCAGGTGATCTACCCATCTCGGCCTCCCAAAGTATTCGAATTACAGGTGTGAGCCACCGCACCCGGGCCCCATGGTCTGTTCTTGAAGATTCATTTCCTCTCTCAGGGCAGTTCAGAGGACGCTGGAGTTTTGAGGGCATAGAGCTCTAGGAAAGGGTTTCCTGATTACTGGGCAAATCTGAGACCCCTCCCTCTGGGGCTTCCCATTCTCTGTCTCGTCTCCCGGTCTGCCTGTTGCTCTCTGTCGCCGGGTACGTCCGCCCCTCTTGGGTCTCACTGTCTTGGGGTCTCACTCTCTCTGTGGGAACCTTCCCCTTTGGGACCCAATTACTGGACCCTCTAGGAAAGTTTAATTGAATATTTGTATTGAAAACAGGAGCCAGGGCCCCGAGCCTGATGGGAGGAGGCAGGGGGACAAGAGGAGAGCTGTGTTTGCTTTTCACTCCGGATTAGAGTACCTTTAATTGTGCTGAGAGCAGAGACTGGGGCTGGGGATAATGAGTCTGAAGTTTGTTTTCTCCCTCAGGCTGCCCCTCCCTCTGCCTACTCCCCCTGCAGGGAAGGGGTTAGGGCAGAGGGGCTGGGGCTTGTCTGAGCTGCGGTCCACTGGGCATTCAGTGCCCTGGGGCCCCAGCCTGGGTCTCAGGAGCTGGAGCTGGCCGCAGCTATGCCTAACATAGGCACGGGCTGTGCCGATTTGCACACGTGCACTTCAAGCCTCGGGTACTGGGTCATGAGTGCCTCCTGGGAAGATACTTGGCCAATGCGTATGCATCTGGGTGTGTGAGAAACGTGCTGTTGTTGAGGACAGTGACTGCTGAGTACATCTGCTGCCAGGAGGCTAAGGCGGCCACATGGGAGTGTGATTCATTGAGGCCTGAAAAGTGCCATCAATCTCGCTCTTTCTGGAAGGCAGAAGATGCCATTCCTGCGAGCTGCACTGCGCTCCCTGGCGCTCCTCGTGGCAGGGACCTGAAGTTTCTTGGCCGGACTGCCCCTGGAAATGTCTGCCCGTGAGTGGGGAATTAGTCAGGCTCCTGCTTTCTCCAAGTGAACGCTGTGGCAATCCTGGGGTCCCATGTCCTGCTCATCGCCCTGAGGCCCCGTGCTCATGATTGCTTTTGATCTGAGCAGAATCTGCCAGTGTGAGGCCGGGCCACTTGTCCTGGGTCCCACAGAGCTGGGAATTCGTGGGGAGGGCACCCCCATTGTCCAAGGGCCTGCTGGCTGTCAGGAGGTGCTCGCGTTCTTCCCAGGTGTGGAGACCTGCTCAAGTCCACACGGCCTGTTCCAGGTCGAATAGGGAATTCAACCCAGGTCTGTTTGCCTCCAAAACCCATGCCTTCTCCTCAGGGGCTGGACAGCAGAATCAAAGGGGGCGAGCGGCTGGGGCTGAAGGACCCCAGTGGAGTTGAGGCGATTTGATTCCTCTGGCTGTTTTTCTAAAGGAAGATTGAGAAGAGGGCCGGGAGATTCCTGGAGGTGGTCACAGCCGCTGCACCTGGCTGGTCACTCGCAGTGTACAGAGGGAGGCAGCAAGGCCAGTGTCTGCCTCAAGCCTGCCTTTCCCTTCTCGCCAGCCACCCTCTCATGCTCCCTGCCCCACCTTGCTGAGATCTAACAGCTGCCGTTATTGAGTGCCTGCTGTGTTCCTGACCCATTCTGAGTGCTCCACGTGGGTTACACATTCACTCTTGCTACAGCCATAGGAAGGAGGTTCTGTATCCCGACTGTAAGAGGGGAGATGGAAGCACAGAGAGGTGGAGTGACTGGTTGGCTCGGTTTGGTGTCAGCATCTGCTTCCAGCTCGCCCTGCTTACGCTCAGCATGCGGCCCTGAGGGGGATGCTGCCAACCCTGCTGGGTCCCCACCCAACGCCGCTCCGAAGGGGCCTAACTGTGGTTGGAGGAGCGGCATGGGTAGGGTCACCACTCTCTGATGCTATAGGTCAGAAGAGGCGAGCTTAGTCCCACTTTGGATGGAGCCTTCTTCCTCCTTGCCTGGTAGCTGCAGGGTGACTGGGTGTGGGGACTGCAAGGCTATGAGAGCCCTTAGCACATCAGAGCTGGGTTTGCCCCCTGTCCTCAGACGCCCCCTCTGTCCACACACCCCTCTCTCACGTGGTCCGCTGTTCTCCATGCCCCTTCCTTGGGGCAGTGATCTGTCCTTTGTCAGCCTGGCCGCCTTGGGTCTTGGGAGAGGCTACTGGGGAGCAGAGCTTTGGTAGTGGCCGTGGTGAAGTGTGGAAGGGTGGGGGGACAGGCACAGTTCCTGTGTGCCACCCTTGCCTGGGGGTGATGGCACACCAAGGCGCTATAGGACATCATGGGCGGTCCCTTTGCCTGGCAAATGATCCAACTTTTTCTGAAATGACTGACTCCACTCTGAAACTCTTTTCCTTCTGTGTGTTTATACATGGGTGAGATGAGGGGATGCTGGAGTAAGTACACACTGAGGTCCAAGGGGACGGGGAATCTGGGGAACTGGAGGAGGAGAAACTGAATCACAGACCCCGGAGCTCAGGACCCGCCTGTGATGCGTCCCATCCACAGGCCCTGCTGTCCCTGCTCTCCCAGGCTGGCCGACCCGAACTTCAGCTCACTGCTGAGGCCAAGCAAAGCTGGGAGCATGCTGCACTGGCTCCCTTGCAGTAAACAGTAGTAGGAAAATGCAGCTGTTTGTGTATAAACTAAAGCTTGTTACAGTCCTGGGAGCTTCCGACTCGGGGGCCCACAGGCTTGGAGTGGAGAACATTGTGGGGAGAAAAATCATGTGTGAGCTGTTACTGCTGGGCCCCAAGGCTCTGAGGCCCCGCCTGGCCCTCAGCCCCGACCTGCCCTGCCGCCCTCCCCTCACTCCACCAGACTCCAAACACAGCCCAGCTGCAGGAACATCAGCCTCTCATTATGTTCCCTCCACCCCTGCACAAACACAGCAGGTGGGGCGTGGGGCGCAGTGGGCGGGGGCAAGAGGCCGGCATGGGATTTGGCCTCTCTCAGGGTGCTGAGAAAGTGTGCCGAGGCGGGGGCGCCGAGGACACAGTGGGGAGGTACCCTCTGGGCTGCTTACCATGCGCCGCAGCCCGGCTGGGATCAGACCCCTGCCCCGTGCAGGGTCTGTGGAGAAAGGTTGGGGATCGGGGCCACTGAGGAAAGCTGCAGTGGGACAGGGGCTCATTCCATTTTGACATTAACTGGGTATGCAAATAACATGCAGGTTGGCCCTTTATTGTGTCTTAGTCAATAGCCAGGCATTTTTTATCTTTGGCCTGCAGCTTTGGTCTCAGCAGATCTCAGCAGGTCACCAGGTAGGAGGGGGAGGCTGTCAGCTTTAGAAGGAGGAGGCTGGGAGTGGAGGAATCAATTTCTTCTGTCCCGTAGCTGTCACACCGAGCAGGCAGTGGCGGCAGATAGGCCCTGGGGATCCCTCTCGGCAGCCTGCTGACTTTTACAGGCTGGGTGTGGTGGGGGCAGGCGAGGGCGGGAGGCTGTGCTGAGCCTGATGGATGGGCCCTGGCGGCAGCTTTGGCCGCCCCGCTGGGGCTGGGGGCCCAGGCTCAGTACGGGGAGGTCAGGCTGAGGGTGCAGGGAGCTCCCGGTCGCTTAGAAGGGCTGCTGATGGGAGGAGGGTATCAATTTCCCAGCTGAAAAGCTGTGGGGAGGGAGGAAGAACAGACCCCATGTGGAAGAGAAGTTACACTCGGGGGGACGTGGCCAGAGAGGACCATCTTGAGTTGTGTTTCTGTCTTGTTAAAGGTGAAAATTCCGGGGTTTTGTACGGGTATGGGTGCATGTGTTGAAGTTAGTATGCAGGCAAAGCAGATACTGCCTTTCTTATCACCATCTTCTGCCCTACCCCACTCCCTGCACTCACACACACACTCACCCACTAAGCAGGACACCATACACAGTCATACAAGACACCATACACACACACACAGTCATATCACACACCATATGCACACACAGTCATACAAGACACGTACACACACAGGCTCACACACGCACTCAGGTACTCATGCAAGATGCCACACACACACACAGTCATACAAGACACCATACACACATATAGTCATACAAGACACTACGCACACAGTCATACAAGACACCATACACACACACACACAGTCATATCAGACACCATATGCACACACAGTCATACAAGACACGTACACACACAGGCTCACACACGCACTCAGGTACTCATGCAAGATGCCACACACACACACAGTCATACAAGACACCATACACACATATAGTCATACAAGACACTACGCACACAGTCATACAAGACACCATACACACAGTCATACAAGACACCATACACACAGTCATACAAGACGCCATACACACAGTCATACAAGACACCATACACACAGTCATACAAGACACTACGCACACACGCTTACACACACACTCATGTACTCATGCAAGACATTATACACAGACCGTCTCTCGCACGCTCATGCAAGATACTATACAAAAACACGTAGTCATACAAGACACCATACACGCAGAAGCTCACACACACACAACACTCATGCAAGATGCCATACACAGACTGTCTCAAACTCACACGCTCATGCGAGATGCTATCCACATACAGACTCACACACTCACTTGTGCAAGACACCATACACAGGCTCTCACACACACATCCCTTTCTTTTATTAAAAAAATAGAAACCTAATTTTCATGGAAACCTGCCGCTTAAGTGACTCAAGTGTCTGAATTTCCATTCTGTAAATAATGTAAATGTACATAATGTCTCCCCCCAGTCTGTTTCTCCAGTGTCCTACAATGCAGTGCTTGAATTTCCTTCCACTCAGACTCCCACAGAATCCACTCTATCCTATGTAAGCTCCAAACCCCTCCCTCCTTATACATCCAAGGATGTCAGGATGGTGTGGGGGGCAGTCCTGCTCATTCAAAACTGGAACCCAACTGCCTGTCCCCAGAGGCAGAGACTGCCACAACCATCACCAGAAGCTGTTTACTTACCTCGGGGACATTCTAGCCCTGGGCGAAATCTGCATGTGTCTGAACTGGAGGTGAGTTGGGAAGTGCATGGTAGGTAGTTTGGAACTTCTCTGCGAGCCCAGGAAGTTCCTGCCACTGTCTTCTCCCTTCCCCTTCCCTGCGTGGTGCTCGGCTGTGCATCATTTGCCAGAAGCCCATCCAGTGGCCTGGAAGCCTGGGGACTCGGCCTGCTTGCTGGGGAGAATCTTGCTCCACTAAGCTGAGTGCTTTCCAGGACTTTGGGTGGGGGTGGGGGGGGCAGGTCGAGACCTCAGTGCTGGAGCAGGGGCCAGCCAACAGCTTGTCAAACTGGCTGCCTCCTCACTCCATCAATTCCCCTGTCATTTCCCGGGGATACCTTGAGGTTGACCTCAGTGCAGGGAGCAAAGTTCTTTCTTTGTCTCCTAATAAACAGCCTCAGTGATTGCTGGCCTCCAGCTGTTCTGTGGCCCCTGTGGCCCCACCCCCCTTCCCCGAGAGGCGCTTTCTCCCTGTGAAGTCTCATTAACTGGAGGCTTGGGGCCAAGGGAGGGCTCTGGCCCACCACTCTCTCCTTATTAGCGCAATCATTTCTGTCTGGCGTGATGGCCAAGCTCTTCCTAGAACCCTGTCTGCTCAGAGGCTCCTCCTGGACTGCTGGAAGACACTGTCCTGGGTCCTCAGAGTGACCAGGGCATTTCTCCCCTGAAGCCATTGGCGCCAGGTGGCACTGGGTATGGGAGTTTACATAGGTCTTTTCAGGGCCCATAAGAAGGCAGCTACTGATGGATCAGGTCCAGGAAAGGTGGGTCTCTCGGTGCAGCCTCCTTGAAAGCCAGCTCTGGCCTTCTGGTGGCGTTTGCCCATGGGAGGCCTGTCGACTCAGGCTGCCCAGAAGACATTTCTCTGTGTGCAGCGGTTCTGTTTCCTGGCACAGCTCTCTCCCCTGCTCCAAATGCAGTGCAAACCCTGAGCTGGGGGAGAACAATCTCACGAGAAACTTGGGATGTTCTCTGCAGGTGGATTTCTCCATGGACATCTGAGTGGGAGACTGGATTTTAGGCTCTGCTCTGTGCAGGTCCCCTCACTTCTGTGTAGTCTTTGCTCTGCCAAATCCAAAGTGCTTTCCACTTCCTTTTTCTAGAAACAGTTGTATAGTGGTTAAGAGTCAAAGATATGCAGTCTGGGCCGGGCACAGTGGCTCACTCTGTAATCCCAGCACTTTGGGAGGCTGAGGTGGGCAGATCATTTGAGGCCCGGGGTTCAAGATCAGCCTGGCTAACATGGTGAAACCCTGTCTCTACCAAAAATGTAAAAATTAGCCGGGTGTGGTGGTGCACACCTGTAATCCCAGCTACTTGGGAGGCTGAGGTGGGAGGATCCCTTGAGCCCAGGAGGCAGAGGTTGCAGTGAGCCAAGATCATGCTGCTAGGCGACAGAGTAAGACTCCATCTGGAAAAGAAAGAAAGAAAGAGAGAGAGAGAGAGAGAGAGAGAGAGAAAGAAAGAAAGCAAAGATGTGCAATGTGACAGGCCTGGGTTCAAATCCTTATGCTGCCACCTATTAGATGGGTGAGAGAGGAAAGTTTCTGAACCTCTCTGAGCCTCAGTTTCCATATCTGGGAAATGGAGATAATGACAGTAATGCTGGCCATAGGTTACTGAGAGCATTGCAAGAGAGGATGCATATAACGCACACAACATGAGCTAGATTACCGAGGACGAACGTTGTACATTTGTGTGTAGAGTCTTAAGGAGGATTTTGCTCTTCCTCATGGGCCAGGAATTATGTACTGTTGCTTGTTGTCTCCCACAGGGAAGGTCTAAAACAGCCCCGAAACTGTACTTCAGTGGATGAAGGTATTTCTTTTTTTAAAAAGGACATGCAAGTACAAAGTCTCATAAAAAAAAATACTCAGGGCCCTGGTAATATTGAGAATATTTGGGAACAGGAAGAGGGACTAAGTGGCCTGTTGCAGAGGTGGGAAGAATATTTTTCCTTATATGTCTTTTTTTTTTTTTTTGGAGAGGGAGTCTCCCTCTGCCACCCAGGCTGGAGTGCAGTGGTGAGATCTTGGCTCACTGCAACCTCCTTCTCCTGGCTTCAAAGATTCAGATTCAGGACATTTCAGGGCCTGTCAAGGAGGTTCTTCCCACTTAAGCCTCCTGAGTAGCTGGGATTACAGGTACCTGCTACCACACCCAGCTAATTTTTATAGTTTTAGTAGAGATGGGGTTTCACCATGTTGGTGAGGCTAGTCTTAAACTCCTGAGCTCAGGTGACCCACCTGCCTCAGCCTCCCAAAGTGCTGGGATTACAGGTGTGAGCCACCACGCCCGGTTCCTTGTATGTCCTTTCGACTCTTGTTTTATGTCTGCATCATATGAAACCTATTATAAAAATAATACAATTAAAATTATAATGTTGGAAATATAACAAAGTATATATACTGGGGGGTAAAGTTTTTCAGGCATTCTTAATACTTGAAACCAGGTATTTGGCTAGTAGAGTTAGGTAAAGGGCTAATTGTGAGGGATTCCTTGGAGGAGAAAGGGATGGAGATCGAGGGGCATAGGGCCCAAGGCCACCAGGATGTCCTGTGTCTCTGTTTGGGGGAATTTCCTCAGCCGGGTACTTTTTGCCCCAGTGCCTCGTCTCAGCTACTATTCCGTGAGCTGGACACGAGCCCGCAGCCTCCGTGTGCTATGAGCGTGGCTGTGGGCGGGGAGGCAGGTAGATGCAGCTGCAGCACCTGTGCCCTCTGGGTGGGGCCTGCCTTTCCCCTGCAGGCCTCGCTCACTTGTTAGAAATCTGTCTTTTCTTCAAGGTTCACCTCAGATCTCACCCCTCTGTGAAGTGCTCCCTGTTCCTACCAGATCAGACTTTACCCCCATCCCCTCCCATGTGTTCTGCTCGTTCCTCTTTCCCAATTCTTTCCCCGCCGCGTTTTACATTCTCTTTATTTGTTGGGATGCCATTTCCCCTGTTAGCTCTGAAGCCCGTGGAGGACACAGGCCATGGCTCATTCACATCTCCAAGTTCCACCGTTCCCAGCCCAGGGCCCAGGACGTAAGTTCTCCATCCACGCTTGGGAGTGCATGAGTGGGCGAGTCAGCAGCCTCGAGGCCTCAGAACCTCCTCGACAGGCCCTGACATGTCCTGAATCTTTGTTGTTTTTTTTTTTTTTTTTTTTGAGATGGAGTCTCGCTCTGTCGCCCAGGCTGGAGTGCAGTGGCTGGATCTCAGCTCACTGCAAGCTCTGCCTCCCGGGTTTACGCCATTCTCCTGCCTCAGCCTCCCGAGTAGCTGGGATTACAGGTGCCCGCCACCTCACCCGGCTAATTTTTTTTGTATTTTTTAGTAGAGACGGGGTTTCACCGGTTTAGCAAGGATGGTCTCGATCTCCTGACCTCGTGATCCGCCCGTCTCGGCCTCCCAAAGTGCTGGGATTACAGGCTTGAGCTACCGCGCCCGGCCCGTCCTGAATCTTTGAACCTCAGTTTTCCATCTGTAAATTGGGGATGGCAATCACGGAACCCACCTGTGAGAGATCAGCTGGGTTATGCTAGGGAGTTCTCTGCTGCACCGTTGGCCCTGATGGATGTCCCTAAATTTACGCAGTGTTTGCTCTCATCTTGAGATCATAGGTGTCCTTGGACTTCCTGTCCTCTCTGCTGCACGCAGAGCTTGCCTTCCTCCCATTTTCCACCTCGCTTCTTGATGCCATGTGTCCTAAGCTTCGCCAGCAGTAGCTGGGCCTAACCTTAGGGCCATCAATCCCAGACACAGAATGGTCAACCCCATGGAATCAGCCCTCAGTGCCTCTCCCAGATCACTGCCCTCTCCACAGAGCTGCAGAGCCCAAACTCGCCTTCCCAGCCGGGCCAGAAGGAAAAGGCTTTCTGTGCCTGCCCTGGCCCGCCAAGCCTCACAGAGGCTACGCCGCTTGAAATGCTGACGTCCTGTCTTCCCTTCCACCCCCTTTTATTTTCTACTTTATGCTTTTCCCCCTTTCTCACTTACTCTTGCTTCCTGTTCTCCAAAGTGTTAGTTGAAAACAATAGGTAAGTGTGGAGCCGCCAGCAAGGCTCCGTGGATGAGAGGCATTGGGGAGCAAGGAAGGAACAGCCATTGCTTTCGCTGATTACCCGTTGCTGGCCCACCTTCTCGTTCTGCTTCCAGCAGGAACTCATGGGTCCTGCTGAGTGAGAAGGGGCTTCTTTTTATCCTGTCAGTCATGGCTTCCTGGTCCTTCTAGCTCATACATGCCTGAGATCAGACCAAAGAAGGTCCAGCTCTTGGTCCAGGTCTCTCCTTATGAGCTGCACTACCTTCTAGGAAAGAAGTGAACTCAAGGGAGAGTAGGGAAGGGCCCACTGGAGTAAGGGTCTCGCCGCATTTCTTCTGTTAGCAGAACATTTCTGTTTAATGCATAGAAGGGACTTTGTGTCTACAGATCTACTCACCCGACTCGGATGAGATCAGGAGTCCTTTCCTCGGCAAGAGGACACCTTCTCCCATAATACAGTGCCACAAGCCACGTCCCCCGTAGTATGGCAGGAAGCGAGGCATCTTGGGGTTGGAGGTGTGCAGTACAGTGTCATCAAAGGTGGGACAGGGCCCATCACAGGGCTTCCTTCCCTAGTCACGGAGCAAACACAGTCCCCATGGGATGGTAGAGATACCGGGAAGAGGCTGCAGCCATTGACACACAGGTGCACTTTGCACCCATCATCACGCCCTGCAATCTCCTCTCCCCCTGCCTCAGCTGTATCTTCCACAGTCCTCAGCCCTAGTGGAAGTGTCTTCAGATTTATATGGTGCTATTTACTGGCGCTCTGCCAATTAGTGACACTTTGAAATTCCCTTATATGACGCACTGCTGCTCTGACAATAAACAAGTCATTAGCTGGGTCAGAGGGCAGCCTCCAGCTGGTTTTGATTCATTGTTTCTGAACCGCTCAAGAGGCTCATTAAGTTGCAGGGTCTCCAGTCTAAGACTCAGGAAACCCCAGAAGCTAGAAGCAGATGGGGTTTCTGCACACCTAGGTGCTGGGTCACTGTTCACCTGCCTTTCCCTTCTGATGCCCTATGAGACTCATCCCCCCACCACTGGAGGGGATACTAATTGCCGCCACAGTGTCACCCTCCTTTGATAAGACACAGACACAGGACAAAGGCCTCAGTAGGGAGTAGATGTGAAAGGGCAGCAGGGAACGGTGAAAGGAGGCTGGGTGGAAAGGAGAGGTTTGGGTGCTAGAGGAAGGAGTGGCACGGGAGAGCTAGAAACTCCAGTGGGTGACTTGGCAGGGGGGAAAGGTGGCAGACACCTGAATGAGAGCCCGGCCCGTTATGACCAGTTCATGTTCTTCACTTGCAGCTCCAAAGGCTGTGGGACCTGGAAGGAATCTTGGGCATCACCCAGGCCAACCCCTCATCTCCATTTTACAGATGTTCAAGAAAGATGACGTGACTTCCCAGTTCACCCAGCTCATACGTGCCTGAGATTAGACTAAGGGAGGTCCAGCTCTTGGTCCACATCTCTCCTTACGACCTGCACTAGGTCCTAGGAAAGAAACAAGCTCCAGGAAGAGCAGGGGAGCATCCTGCTCCAGGCGTGTGCTCACTGCTACTGTTCCTCCTCTTCCCCGTGCTTGCAACCCCTCCTTCCATCACGTCTCATGCCCTGCTGGCTTCTGGATTCTGCACGTATAAAGGAGTCCTGTTTAGGTGTCTAAGGATGTTGAGTATGTGAATGGCTAAATAAGAAGGCTCATTACAGAGAACCATGCTAGGCACCGTAGGAGAAAAAAAGTGCTTGATATTCATGACCTGGAATGGAAAGCACAGTGAAAAAATTACCAGTAAGTAAACATAGAATGTGCAGTCTGAGTGGTGAGCTCCCCCAACTGAAGCCATGGTGCTATTCCATGCGGGACATCAGGATGGATGTATCTGTAGGTGCTAGGCACTATGGTTTTGATGCTTCCCTGGGGGAAGGTGACATGATCTCTAGTCTATAAGAAGATGATGGCTAAAATTGAGACCTATGCAAAAACTGGGACCCTGTAAGAGATACACCCTCAGAGAAACCAGGACCAAAAAAATACCAATCAGAGGCTTAGGGTAGGGACAGTTAATCTTCTCCTGACTAGGACTCTAAATAGGAAAAAGTCTTCTGTGAGAAATAGAAGCTCCAGGCCTGAACCATATGTGACTACAGTGTTTGAATTTCCACTGCTGGAATTTCCAAGCTGAGAAATTAATATAAAAATAGATCCCAGACCAATAAAACTCATGGTGTATCAAGAGAAGGAAATACAAAACTATTCGGGAGGAATGTGCCCCAGAGCAACAGCATCTCACAGCAAAATCTGATCCCTTTGAAGTTGCCCAAACAATAAAAAAATTACAAACCACATCAGGAAATGATATACTATTAGAGAAAGTCAGCAAACATATCAAACTAGTTTAGCATTTCAATAACATAAAACAATGTAACAATCTGAAAGAGACTTTAAAATAACTATGTTTAAAATGATTAAAAAGATGAAAACATAGAAACATAAAGAAAATATAGGATATTTTGGGAGAAACAGGCAAATTTGTTAAAAGAGACAAGAACTTTCTAGAAATAAAAAAATATAGTAATTAAAAGCTCAATAGATGTGTCAGACAGCAGATTAGATGAAGCTGAGCAGAGAATTAGTGAACTGAAAGACAGATTAGAGGAAATTACACCAAATGTAGCATGGAAAAAGGAGAGAGAAAAAATGTGAAGGAGAAGCCAAAAGGCATAGAGGATAAAATGAGAGGATCCAAATTACCTTTACAGGGAGTTGCAGAGGAGAAGAATATAGAGAAAGGGACATGGTAACATTTAATTTTCCAGAACTGATGAAAGGACACTGTCCTCAGATTAAAGAAACGTTGGAATTTCTGGGGGAAAATACATAAGAATAAGTCCACAGAGATATGGTAGAGTGAAACTGGATTCAAGGAAATACAGCCAGTGTGTGGAGGGATTAAGGAGAAAGGAGAGGTTAAATTTGTCCAGGAATATCTGTGGAAGTTCATGGAAAACTGAGACTTGAAGGTCAAAGAAAATTTTAAGAGGTTGAAAATATGGTAAGGCTGATGAGATTTAAGAAATAGGAAGAAAAATATGAGGTTTCAGACTCTCTAATTAGTTTCTAAGTAGGTTTTAATGCACTTTGTTTTGAATTAAGTTACTCTTAAGACTCTGGATACCTGTTTGTAAACTAAAGGTTTCAGGGGAAGCTCTCCTGGCCTGCACATTATTTCAAACCTAGTCTCTGTTCTTCCCAGTTGGGTCCCCTGCCCTGTCCATGACTTTTCAGTCCTGGCTAGGCACAAGTCACCCAGCTGATCCTATTCCACTCAGAAATCCACTCATAATCACCAAATTGCCCTTTGAGGCCTCCCCTTCCTGTTGGGGGCTGAATTGAAATTGGACTATCTAACCTTCCTCCCTCTACCTGTGGTCCTTGGGGCAAAGAAAAACCTTGCTCTGAAGTGGACAGCAGGGGCATGCCCTACTGCATCTGTGCCTGGTTAGCAGTGTCAGTGGCTTCAGAGGAACAGAAAAACCTGGGCATGGTAATTGGCTCATGAAAGCTGCATGTTGCTGGAGGGGGCAGGAGGGTCTGGAGAGGAATGGGCTTAATGGGAAGCAAATGCTGCAGAAAAGCCTGTGCACACCCTCCCCCAATTCACGGCCATTAGCATTCCTCAGACACCTGCAGGCACTTGGCCCTAGCTGGGCATGGGATGTGCCGGCTCCTCCCTGCTGGCGCACAGAACAGAAAGATGAAGTTTGGTTCTCATTAAGGGGGCAGGGGTGGATGCGAGACAGGATAATTCTTTCTTGTATCTTTTAAGAGCACGTCCTTTTCTTTGGTTGTTGTCAAATTCTCCTTCACCTTACGGTTGTTTATGGGGTCTGAGAAAGAGCACTGGATTTTGGGTTGAGTGCCAGATCATCCTCTCCTAGCTTTGCAACCGTAGAAACGGCACCAAATCTCTCTGGTCCTCAGCCTCCTCCTGGTTAGGAATAATGAAGGAATAATTCCTACGAACACGGTTATTTTGAAGAATAAATAAGGTAGACCATTTGAAGGCACCGGGCAGAGTGGTATTATGGAATGGACACTCAAAAAATTTGAGTTTCCTTTATCCCAGATCATAAGTACCTTTGGAGAAGGAATGGTGTCTTATTCATCTTTGTCACCCCCAAGGTGCCTGTTGTGGTGCCAGAACCCAGAGTAGAAGATTGAGTCAATGGGGGTGCAGTACCCCCGATGCTGAGCTCCCCCACCCTCTTACTGGGACAAGACAAAGGTCAGCTCAGAAACCAGATGCCAAGAAGTAAAAAAGACCAGGTCCTTGAAGAGTCATTGAAATGGGCCCGGTGGCAAAGCAGCAAAGGGGCAGGATTTCTGTGAGGCCACTTGAAGAACCTACTCCACCTGGGTGCTGGGGGACGCGGTCCTGCAGGAGGCCAAGGGGACTGCACCGACACAGGGACCAGCCCTGTCCAGGGAGGGACGGCATCTTCCTCTCCTCCCACACTGCGCTTGCAGGTGCCGGCTTCCGGAGGGTGCCGTGGTCTCTGGGGCTGGCTCCCTTCAGCCGCAAAGACCTCTCTGGCGGAGGCTTCCGTCCAGCTGCTCTCCAGCTGCTGCTGGTGGAGGCTTGGTTGACTTAGGCATCTTCCACGCATCTTTAATCTGTCTTCACTCAGTGCCAAACATCTGCGGAGGGGATCTACTGGCTGTTTATTTTCTGTTTGTCTTGGGTGTGACACAATCTCTATTCTTCACTTTAATGGCTCTTCTCTTTATTATTATCGTCTCAACCCCTCTATTTATTTGCTTTCCCCGAACACCAGCCACTTTCCCTCTGCTCTCCTGGACTGGCCAAGGCCCATGCCAGCCCTCCCTGCTTCCTCTCCTCCCAGCTTAGGGCCCTGCTCTCCTGGCTATGAGCCTCACTCAAACCAGATGTAGTTTCCTCCTCCTCTCCTCCTCCTCCCTCTCCCCCTCCCCCTGAGTTGCCAAGGGCTGCAGGGGGTCAGGGGAGCAGAGAGGTTCTCCACCCACATCCTGTCCTGCCCCCCGCCCCCACCACCCCCGCCGCTTCTGCTTCCCTGCCCAGCTCTGTGACCCACACTAAGGAGGGAAGGGAGTGCAGTGCATGCCAGGGTCCTGTTTAGTCCCTGCGATGAGGGGTGCTGGGCAGTGCTAGGCAGGACTCCTACCCCTGAGAGTACGGTCAGTAGGGGGCCTTGGTCCCCTCTCTGCAACAGAGCTGCACTGGAAGGATTTGGCACAGTCCACACACACTCTAGATCACTGATGGTGTCAAGGCCCCTCTGCTTCCATATTGCCCGATGAGCAATATTTTACAAATGTGCCTTTACATCCACTGTCCCTGCAACCTTCGCCACAGCCCTGAATACGGGATCCTCACCTCCTCATGCAAGAGGAGTCTGAGGTTCTAGCATTGCTCAGTTGATAAGAGGCCAAGTCAAGATTTGAATTTAAATCTGATTTGATGTGAGGAATGGCCAATTGGCTTAAAAACTGAGCCTGACTTTCCTGACCTGGCCTGGTCTGACCTGTCCCAACACCTGGGAATAAATCTCTTTTGGTGAATAGAGTCTGAGTTTGGGGGCAGCAGCCAGCCTGGGACACTTTTCTGTTTCTGGAATTACTTCTACCTCTGGCCATAGTGGGTCATTGAAATTTGACCTCTGGGATTTCAGTAGAAGTGATAGTTAGAGATAATATTATGGCTCTCACTGTGCAAAGAACACTGGATTCTACAAGGACACGGAATGCAAGAGAAACTGAAGATGAACTTATCAGAGGGGAGAGTTGTGACAAAACTTCAGACTTGATATAAAATCACTAATCAACTGTTCAACCAGAAGCAAAGTCAGGCTTAGCGGGGCCTGAGCTTTTACAATTTGGTGGTCGTAGTGGGAACTCTTTTTAAGTAAAATAATTCAGAAGTATGAACACAAATATACCAGGATTCCTCCCAGGGCCTTGCAAGGATCCTGTGCAAAGGCCATTAGCTTCCTGGAAAATCCAGCCCTGAATAGGGCTAAAGTGACTTCGAACTGAGCACCTAGGCAGATTTTCAGCTAAAGCTGTAGTTTGGGACCAACTAGGACAGTGGTTCTCAATTCTGGTGGACCTAAAACTCACCTGGGGCACATGTTCAAATGCAGACTGTGCTTTACCCCCAGAAATTCTGCTTTAGTGGCGGGTCTGGGGAGGGGCCTTGAAATCTGCATTTTTGATGAGTCCTCCCGGGGATTCTGAAACTGGACAAGTAGGAACTAAACTCTTAAGAAACATGGGGCCAGAAGTGGTGGCTCACACCTATAATCCCAGCATTTGGAAGGCTTAGGCAGGTGGATCACTTGAGACCAGGATTTTGAGACCAGCCTGGCCAACATGGCAAAACCCTGTCTCTACAAAAAATTCAAAATTAGCTGGGTGTGGTGGTGTGTGCCTGTGGTCCCAGCTACTTGAGAGACTGAGGTGGGAGGATTGCCAGAGCCTAGGAGGTCAAGCCTGCGGTGATCCGAGATCAAGCCACTGCACTTTAGACTCTGTTCTTTGAGACTCTGTCAAAAAGAAGAAAGAAAGAAAGAAAAGAAAGAAAGAAAGAAAAGAAAAGAGAACGGAGGGAGGGAGGAAGGAAAGAAAGAGAAGAGAGAAAGGAAAGGAAGGAGAAAGAAAGGGAGGGAGGGAAGGAAGGAGAAAGAAAGGGAGGGAGGGAAGGAAGGAGAAGGAAAGAAAGAAAACCCCCCACTGTCATGAGGAAGTCAGGCTGGAGATCAGGAATGTTCACCAAAGTCATACAGCAAACAGGGGCTGAAGGTATAGCTGGGATCAGGGTCCTGTCCCCAGTTTCTTGTTCTTTCCTCTTGCCAGGCTGTCTCTGATCAGACTTCACTTCCTGAAGAAAGTGGGTTATTAGGGTGGGGGGTTTGCAAAGGGGACGTGAAACTGGGTTTTCTCCAGCAGCTTCCAGAAAGAAAGAAGTCCTGGGCTGTCTGGGACTCCTGAAAGGTGGGAGACCCCATGACCTCAGAGGCGGGGCCTAGATCCCTGGGGAAGGAATCTTAATTGCTGGCAGGTGCTTTAGGAGTGGGGCTGGAGCCCCTCCCAAAGTGCAGTGTCTGTGGGATGGCAGCTCAAATGCCTTCCAAAGCTCCCAGGCCAAAGGTCACCATCAAAGCATTCAACTGGCAAGGCACTCTCATTAAGTCAAATATTGACTTGTCTCAATATGAACTTTGTTTGTTTGTTTGCTTTGGCTGGAGGTCTAGTCTAAACATGTAAATGACTCTTCTGCTGATGAATGAACCTCCTCCCAGGAGTCTCTTCCTAAGACCGTTCACGAGCAGGAAGGCCAGAGGCAGGCAGGGAGCACTGGAAGTTGTCTCATCACTGCCCTGAGGAATCGCGGGGACAGTGGAGAAAAGTGGGAATGGGGAAGATAGAGAGGCCTGGACTGCTGAGAGCCATGGCCCCTCCTGTGTCTGGGGAGCGCCTCTGCAGGGGGACACTGCCGCCAATGTTCCGCTCTCAGGCTTGTGCGCCAGAGGTGCTCGGAGCTGGCTTCATGCTTCTTGGAGGCTCCTCCATCAACCCCGCCAGGTCTGGGCCCTGCGGGGCAGGTGACAGCCTCCAGTGTGGAGGAAGCCAGCTCCCTCCTTGGACTAAAGGGAGGAGGAAATTGCTCAGTTTCAAGAGGGCTGAGGAGCCCAATAGGCTTAGAGTGTTGGAATGAGCTGCGTTTGGGGGCTCTTCATTGCACAACCCCAGGGGGTGCCATCCACGCAGTGTTCTAGAGTTGCGTGGCAGTGTGGCCTGCTCCTGAGAGCACCGCTGCACGCTCCTGCCCTGTTTACAGCAAGAAAGGGCAGGGGCAGTAGGGAGGGAGGGAGGAAGCAAGGAAAGGAAGGGGAGGAGGAAGGAAGACAGGAAAGGAAGGAAAGAAAGGGAGGAAGGGAGGGAGGAAGAGAAGGAAGGAGGGAGGGAGGGAGGGAAGGAAGGAGGAGGAAGGGAGGGAAGGAGGAAGGAGGGAGGGAGAGGAAGGGAGGAAGGAAGGAAGGAAGGAAGGAAGGAAGGAAGGAAGGAAGGAAGGAAGGAAGGAAGGAAGGAGCGAGTCTTCCCTGAATGCCGCTGTGGGTCAGGCTGTGGGTGGGGGCGCTCAGGTGGGCAGTGAGCGATAGAGGCTAGGCTTGGCTGGGGTTGGGAGAGGGAAGCCGCCAGAGGAGGGCCGAGCCCCTTGAAAGCTGCTATTGTTTGAGGTCTATGCTCAGAGAAGCCCTGAGTAAAAAGAGCTTGTTAGAGAGGCCCAGGCTGGAGACAAGCTGCTCTCAGAGAGCCAGTGAACCGTGCGAAATGACTTAAACTAACATCCCTGACTGCACTGGGCCCGGACCCAGGAGTCAGGGCCGTGCGCTCATCAGAAATTCATAGAAGCTGCCCCGCGGCTCGGCTTTCTCTGGCCGCCTTGTTCATTGAGCGGTTTTTTCTTTCCAGTCCCGCGGCTCTGAAAGGGAGACAGGGGCTGCCTGATGGGGAAGATCAAGCGGCCTTTGAAAACCTCTCTCGGAGTTTATTAAACCCAGGGGCCAGGGCAGGCCAACCTGGAGGCCCAGCCAGGCCTGACTCCGCCCACCCTGGGCTCCCCAGAGGGGACCTGGCCTGTTCTCATGTCCCAAACTTGGCAGGGCAGAGGGATGAGGGGCTGGGGGAGCGGGATCCTGAGGAAGATGGGAGGAGGTGAGGGAGGGGGCTGAGCACGGGTGGAGACCTGCCGCCCCTGCAGACGACAGGGCCTTCTCTCGCTGGGCCCCCAGGACACCCCCTGCTTCCTGCTGGAACTCGTCTCTCCACGAGCTCTCCCGAGTGTTTGTGCTCAAGGTACACAGAGAGGAGAGTGGGGGGAGGAAAGGACTGGGGGGTCTCTGGGCTGCATCACAGCTCCCTGACCAAGTAAGGGCAGGAACGAGGCTGCTCAGAGGATGCCTCAAGTTTCCAGAAGTCCGTCGGAGAAGGAGAGGTAAAGGACCTCACCTGCCGGTGCCCCGGGTGCTCGCCCAATCCCCATCCCAATACACATCCCAGAGGGACTGGCCTTCCAGACAGCACCCAGAACGGCGGGCTGAAGTAGACTCCCGGCACAGAAACCTTCCCCGAGAGCGCCTGATGACCTGCGAGGCTGAGTCAATGCCGAGGACAGCCACGGTGGAAGGAGCCTTCCACAAACACCCATATGAAGGCCTTCTGGGTGCCAGACCCCATCCCAGACAGTGGGCACACAGGGATGAACAAAGCAGTGGGTGTGTCTTGTTCCTGAGAAGACATGGGACCCTCTGTCTCACCACGTGTGAGTTCCTTTTTTTTTTTTTTTGAGATGGAGCCTCTGTTGCCCAGGCTGGAGTGCAATGGCGTGATCTCGGCTCACTACAACCTCCACCTACTGGGTTCAAGTGATTCTCCTGCCTCACCCTCCCGAGTAGCTGGAATTACAGGCGCGCCACCATGCCCAGCTAATATTTGTATTTTTAGTGGAGACAGAGTTTCATTCTTTTGGTCAGACTGGTCTCGAACTCCTGACCTTGTGATCCACCCACCTTGGTCCCCCAAAGTCCTAGGATTACAGGCATGAGCCACTGCACCCGACCAACACGTGTGAGTTCTAAACCCCTCTGAGCCACTTCCTAGCCAGGTGACGTCAGGCAGTAACTGTACTTCTCTGAGTCCCAGTCCTGAGGGCGGGTGCAGAGCTGGTGTAGGCGCAGAGCTGGTGTAGGGAGGGCTGCTCTCCACATCAAACTATAGTAGCTCCTTTACCAGCTTATATCCTAGGGGATCTGAGGGAGATTTCTTCTGAAAAGGTAATTCTGCTTCTTTAAAAAGTTGAGGCCAGCACACCTGTAATCCCAGTGCTTTGGGAGAGGATCATTTGAGGCCAAGAGTTCAAGACCAGCCTGGGCAACATAGTAACATTCCATCTCTCCATGCACGGCCAACATGGTGACCAGCCTGGCCAACATGGTAAAACCCTATCTCTACTAAAAATACAAAAATTAGCCAGGCGTGGTAGCTGGTGCCTGTAATCCCAGCTACTCCGGAGGCTGAGGCAGGAGAATCACTTGAATCCGGGAGGCAGAGGTCGCAGTGAGCCGAGATTGTGCCACTGCATTCCACCCTGAGTGACAGAGTGACGCCTGAAACCAAAAAAAATTTCCATCTCTACAAAAAATATATTTATGTATGGTGGTGGTGTGCGCCTGAGTCCCAGCTACACAGGTGGCTGAGGCAGGAGGATTGCTTGAGCCCCAGAGATTGAGGCTGTAGTGAGCTATGATCACACCACTGCACTTCAGCGTGGGAGACAGAGTAAGACCCTTTCTCTGAATGAATGAATGAATGGTCGAAGACCATCAACCAAATTCATATCCCTCCTACCTCTCCCGCATTCACATAAGCCTTTTCATCTTTTCTGTCTTGTTTCATTGACAGTGGCCCCTTCCAGATCATTCCTGGGCCATGATGTGCCTCTTTCTCCCTGCACCCTCACCGGATGCCACCAGAGAGCTCCTCTTTCCCAATCCAGCTTT